TCTCTTATATCTTTGCTGGAGAAGAAGTAAACATTTCAGCAAAAAAGCTCAATAGCAATCTGAATCACTTTCTGAAAATGAAAAGATTCACATAATCTGTACATGAGTCACAAACTTTCAAAATTCTGCAGCTTGTCATTCTCAAGAGTTCTACATCACACTCATGGATTTAAAGAAACAATTCATATCATGAAAAATCAAATATGCCCAAATCTTATTTTGAAATGGGAAATTAATCACAAAATACCAGTGTTAATTTTCCATTTTTTCTGTGCAATGTCACCTTACCCGTTAAACTTGAGCATAGCCCCAGGTGCTCTATCTCTGGTGACTTTCATTCTCTTGTCACCTTTTTGAAATCTTTCTGTATGCTCACACAACTACACATGTAGTCAGTACTCTAATATGTCCTAAGCAACTTAGAAGCTCATCTCCCTTTAAAAAGGTGAAACTGCTCAAAGGTTGAATCCTTCTGAGGCTGAGTCACAGCCCCCAATGAAATTACAAAACTAGAGCTGTGTTACACAGATGATGTTAAAAAATATATTACTGAAACACCTGCTATGTCTAACCCTAACTCTACTGCCTAACCACTCAGCTCAAGCTTCTGCCAATTTAAAATTTCCATTTTATCCTCTTGTCAAGCACTATACTCAGACTGGACCACATCAGTAAAATAATAATAATAAAATCCAGGGAAATGAAGGCACAAAATGCCCACAGTACCATTCACATTCCCAAACAGGATTTCACTTATCTCCTGATAGAGTTGCTCAGGAGAAACAGGTGAATACAGCTCTCCAAACTGGAAACAACTGGGTAATTCTTATACTCTACAGGAGAAAATATGAACACTAGAAGTAATGATACAAAAGTGGTATTTTAGTTTCAAAAGGAAAATAAATTGATCAAGCTAAAAGTAACTGACAACAAAATGCATTGAATAGGCTCAAAAACACACCTAGCATCAAATATTTTCAACCTGCGGAATACAAATGTCTTCATCTGTGTTTCAGATCAAACAGGAAGACAAATTTATAATAAAAGAACTAAATATTCCATGTACCTTACTAAATGCAGGACACTGTGAATCACTGATTGCTCATCCATGGTGGCTTTCTTCTGAGACCAGACACTCATCTCTGTATCCCCAGACATGAGCAAGTAAACTTTGCATTGTGCCAAGTATCACTCACTAGTAGAGACTATGTGTCAACTTAAAAATATAATATAATTTTAAATTGCAAACATTTTCTCCTTACTATCTAAGGGTCACATGTACTTTAGAAAAGATAACTTGGGGTAGACATAAACCCTAAATGTGTATCTCATGTTGAAAAAGCTCTTGCTCAATTATCCAGGGTGGTCTTGGTTTTAAAACACTCCTAACTCTCCCAAGGGGCTGGTATTATACTTTTGAACCACCAAGATTCAGTACTGTTTACTTTACCCCAACACTGGAACCTTCATGAAATTCAGTGACATAAAAATTAAAACACTGATCCAGGCATGGTAGTGCATTCTGGAAACCCTAGAACTTCAGGGGATGATGCATGAGACTCTGAGAGTTTAAGACAGAAGGGGACCCAGTGCTCTACACCAAAGCAGAGGCACAACAGTATAACTAACAAGATAGCACATGTCTGACAACATGTTACAGGCAGCTGAGCTAGTTAGGCAGTCAGACAGGGCTAGGTACTCCAGTTAGCTGGCACAGAGGACCAGAAGTCTGGTTACTTTGGAGTAACACACCTCTTGCTGTGGGCCAGATCTCAAAAGAAATGCAACCACACCCTTAGGTATAATCCTTATGGATTACACATGGATCACATTGAGAAGCCTGGAGTCACCTTTACAACCACCTACAGGAAGAGCCACACTGATCCATAAAGAATGCTTGCTTGCTGCCTGACTGGTTTTCCAATTTGTCCCAGACTTAATCAATTTTATCTGAACAATTAAACTTATTGGTTGACCATAGCTCTCTTCCAACTCATGCCTGCCTGCCTTGTGAGTTCTTTGTTTTTCCCTCCTTAGACTGGCATCACCTCATGGTTTTACTCTATAAAAATTCCTAGAAAATACAGTCTTTGGCAATCCAGTTGGGACCCCTTCTGTCTCTGTCAAGACAGAAGCCTTCTTTCTCTCAATAAATACATCTGCCTTTTAACTTCCGCTGTTCAAAAATTTATTTTTAAAATTCAGAGAGCATTATCTTCTACTGGACATATAATAGCTTGAGAGTTTCATTCCCCTATATCAAGCTTAACAATCAAAGTGCTGGCAAAGTCTAAACACTTTGTGCCACCTTGGACAAAGTAGTAAGGCTGCATCTCAAAATGCAACAGAAGATTTTTTAAAAATAAATTTTTTTAAATTTGGGAGGGTAAGGGTCAAATTTCTGATGTCAGTCATTGAACATTCAGAAACATCTATTCCTTGAAATCTTTGTTGTCTGACAGAAAATCTTTTCCATGCTACTTTAGCTATGATGTCCAACATACTTTCAAAATTCCAAAACTATTGCTCTAATTTCCTGTCTTACCTCAGAGATGATTAGGTGAACTGATCAGTAGACAAAGAAGAAATATTTTCCATGACTAGGTCTCCCTCCTTTCTATAGGCCTGTGAGCCTTTTCCTACTCTCAGACCTAGCAAGCAGACAATCCTTCAGTGCTTTCACACTAGGTCAAGCTCATCTCAGAAATCCTTTTCTCTTCTGGCTGTTGAATGGGCCTCTGTCCACAGGCCCCTGTTCTCCCATTGCTTTCAATCACCTTGGCTCTTCTGGTTCAAAATAACTGTTTTCCTGATTCTTTAATACTCATACAGATCCTGACTATGTGAATATACCCCTACTTCAGTAAAAACTGCATCTCAATGTTGCAAATTTTTTCTGTCTTTCTGAGACAAGGTCTCACAAGGAAGTACAATAGGCCCTTGAGCTCACTTCAAGCCAAGGTTTGTCTTAAGTTTGCAAGCATCCTCCTGTATCAGCCTTCTGAGTGCTGGGATTAAGGACATGTGCCACCACACCCCACTCAGTGTTTCAAATTTCAGGTCAAAGTCTAAACACAACCCTAAGGGTAAAGCCATTCTTTCAGAGGGGGCAATTTGCCCTATCCATTCACACATCTACATCCCTGTGGACACCACTTTGCTGTATTTCTCAGTGTGGGATTAACATGCACCAAATACAGGAAGTTGTTCTCTGAGGAACATTCCCCTCAGCAGTTACTGCATCACATTCTCCAAATACTTCACTGCTGTGGTGTAACTAACATGCTGCCATCTTGTTCTGTAGGCATCATTACCCTGGTAACTCTGTGCTCTGTCTCAACCTTTGCCCCCTTTGGAAAAAACAATTGTTCCTGAAATCAGTTGACCTCCAGTTACCTATATTCTGTCTCAACCTTTGTCTCCTTTTTTGTGAAAGACAATTGTGTCAGGAATTAGGAGACCACAAGTTGCCAAGTTCCTCTAAATAAGGAACTGGTTGACACCAGCTGCAAAATTTCCACAAGACAACTTGCAACTAAGCAAGAATTTCTGTCCCCAAATCAAGTAGGCAATGAAAAGCCACCCTCAGCCTTCCCCCCTCCTACTCCTGCTTTGTGGTTTTTCCCCTTGGAAGCCTCCCAAAAATCTAACATAGTTGCACAGTTTTGAAAATTCCAAGGCTACTGTGCCACTGGTGCTGTTATACACTGAAATGTATTTCAAAAAGGGGATGAGACATCTTTAAAAAGAAAAGAAATGCTTCATCTATGCAGGTACCCAGGGACATGCCTGTGTTCTAATTTTCAGAGCTGTGCAACCAGGTCAGGCTACAGGGGGGTTTCTAAAAGGGAAAACTGCAAAGAAAAAGGAGGGAGCTAATGCAAACAGGCAGTTAATTATTGTGAAATGTTTTACAACCAATAGATTGGGAGCCATGTGTTTTACAATCAATGGTCAGCAAATGGGTAATTCACAGGAAACAGAAATGGAACAAAGTTCAGGGTAATGACGTTTTACAGAACAGGGTTGTGGGTCCTTACCTGGCTTACAACAGTGCCAGGTTAAATAAAGCACTTTTTCTTTTTGGATGTCATCTAATTTTTCAAAACTCTATGAAAAGCGTTTTTTCAGTAATTCAACTGTAAAATAGGGTTTATTTACTTAGCTTATAAATTAGGCACTAGTAAAGAAAGGGCCTGTGATAAAATTGCAAAGTTAGTGGCTTTGATAAGAATTAAAAGGAGAATAGATGAAGACCCAGGGCTTTGAACCAGCAGTGATTTTCTCCCCCATGATAAAAGGCAGATTCCATTCTACTATGCTGACTTGCAGCTGCTAATTACTAAATTCCTGAGATAACATATTTAAATATAAATAGCCATCTTATCTCTAAATCCTGTTTACCTTAGACCACACAAAATGAAGAAATGGGTTAGAGAACCTGGGCTCAAAGTAGTTATTTTTTCCGGGTGCAGTGACTCAGGACTATAATCTCCTCACACTGGAGGCTAATGAAGGAGCATGACCCAGAGCTCAAAGGCAGGCCTGACTATGTAGATATGCTCTGTATGCAAACAATATAAAATAAAACAGAAAAGAAAGGACAAAAGGAAAGACTGACAGACATAGCTGGAGATCTATTTTAAATTCACAGAGCCTAATGTAGCTGCCATCTGACTATGCACGAGGGAAGCATTTGGGAAGTCAAGGAACTCTTCTCATTTCCTATTTTTGTTCCAGAACTCTACACTCAGTGTGGCGCGATTGAGAGTTCTGTTTATGCGGTAACATCATTGCGAGAAGAGATCTCAGAAAAGGAATTCAGATGATAATTTTTTCTCACTGAAAACTCACATTTACCCCCAAATCACTGCACTCCTCAAACACAGCAATGCCTGGGGTTGCCCAAAAGGCATTCTAAGCTTACAGTGGTTCTGCTTACATCCTTCCAAAATCCACACAATTCCAACCCTTTCCCAGCTCAAATACCATCATATTACCATTGTGATGCTTGAGGGTGTCCGAGGATCTTTGCAGCACTCAATAAGAAGTCAAGGAAAATAGATGTGTTCTCAGTTCCCAGGCTCTCAGCACCAAACTCACAGTAAGCCCTTCTGTACCTGGAATGGGAAGAGCCCTCCTCCCTTGGCCCTCCTGATTGGGTGTGCAGCCAGCACTTCCTCACAGGACTGCGAAGAGCCCTCCTCCCTTGGCCCTTCTGATTGGGTGTGCAGCCGGCCCCAACATTATCAATGATTGGCTCTTGGATCTGTCTTTCTCCTGTGATGTCACCCTCACCAGCCAGGATTAATACTTCCCTTTAAGAGCTTTACTAAGCTTTTTCAAGCTGTTCTGTGTTTCCTTAAGGGCTCATTGCATTTTCCTGAAGATGGGTCCTAAATGTTCCCAGTGAATGTCCTCTGGAAGAAACAATCCCTTGAAGTCAGAACTGTTATGCTAAGATGCTGAAAAATTAAAATAATTGATTAAAAGATAATTAGCAAAAATAGTTGAAAGGATAGTTATTGACAGTATTGTCATTCTTTACTGAGCTGGTTACCCTAGTAACCAACCAGCAACCACATAGTTATAGATTAACTGACCACATGGTTATGCTATTCTGTAGGTCGCCTCCCCCCCCCCAAGTAACCTGTGTGCTATGTCAACCTTTGTTCTCCCTTGTAAGAGACAAATGACATTGTGTCAACAATTGTTCCATTTATGAGAGACAAATGTTCCTGAAACTGGCAGACCAAGGGCTATAAATTGGCTAACTACCCACTGTGAAATGTCTTTGACCTCAAGCAAAGGGGAACAAAGGCTCACTTTATTTCTGTTTTTCATCGCTATGTACTTAATGATCAATGAGATAATCATAAATGAACTACAAAAATCAGTCAAAATTCTAACTCAGTTGCACAGATTTGCAAATTCCATCTGCACTTTGTTGCTGGGCCAGCTAAAATAAAAGCGCTTCTTTTAAAAAGACGTCTGTCTTGCCCCACTGTTCATCATGGAACCTTGTTTTTTGGGTGGGTTACAAGAAAAGATTACTTGGCCAGGTCAGAGCAGTACAAACTGCAATGGGTAGGGGCTGCTGTTAGAAATGAGGCCATAAAATTTACTGCCCAGATTTTCACCAAGTCTGTCTCAATCTGCTGATTTTCATCGAACTAATTATAATACGTGTACCAAGAGAATTCCATTACAGAGTGAATGAAGAAACTACACAAAACAGGATTTTGGGGAAAGTAAAGATGAAGGAAAATCAAACAGTCCAAGTGCTTCATAAAAACTTCATACCATATCCAATGTCATAAATCATACCTAAATTTTGAAGATAAACATATAGAAGCATGAGGTCCCAAGGACTGCTAAAACAGAGTATTGAATTTGATCACTTCATGGTATCAAGTTGGGGATACAAAAAGACTTTAAACTGGAAGTGAAAACATTTTTGCATGTATGGATATATTCCACTCTAAGATCATTATGTTAGAGCATTAGCCTGTCACCTAATTGTTGACTTGACTTCATATCTAAGATTGATTTTAACCAAGCCATAAATTTTAGATCTAAAACACAGACTGCATGAAAGAAAATTAGTGGATCTGATGTAGGAATTTGCAGGCAGGCAAAGGTACCTGAGTTGGGATCCCAGGGTCTGGCACAATTTCCAGTGAAAGGGCTTTGTTGCCACTTTAAGCAATGCAGCCAGGAACAAGCCCTCAGTTATCTGACTACAGGTAGTTGTCTGACCCTCATTTCTTATCTTTCTTCCAAAGGAAGTGTTTTAATTTTCCATTTCAATCTTGCTATCTCTAAGCCCTTATTTTTGAGTGTTACTTTCACTGTTTGCTATAGGGCAGTGGTAGAGTGCACACTCCAACCTGTGACTAAATCAAGCAGAAAATCATTTCTCTTCTTTTTTATGGGTTCCACTAATTGAGCAGCAAAGACTTGTTTCTTTTCTTTTTTACTTTCTAGTAAAATTAGAAAAATAGCTCTCCTAGGTTTCGGCTTTATTCCACAGCTGCATTCCTTGTCCTTATGAGTCCCTGAGCTCAGTTTCTACCAAATTAAGAGGTTCAATAATATTCTCTGTAATGATTACTGGTAGGATATTGATAATAGTCTTGCTCTTTACCTAATAACAGTGCTTCTTGAATAAGAGATTTTCTTATAATTATGCTGAAGGAGTTCTTAATTACCAATCATGTATCTAACCATATTTAATGTGATAGGTGTATCTGATATGAAGTGGATAAATTTCTGTTTCTAAGCATCAAGCTTCTGACTTATCTGAGCCCCAAATTCACTCCTTAGAAAAGATTTGAAACCAGGAACTAGCAGGTTCCCTATGAAATTCCTGCAGTTATTTGGCACACTATCTCTGTGACAACCTCCACAGTGCACAGGTACTTAATTGGCTTTCATATTAAATAAATTCTGTTATTATTGCATTTTGGATTCCTGAGTGTTTTTGTACTTACAAGAAGAGATGGTATCTGAAGTTTTGCCATTCTGCATTTGTGTTCCTGAACTTTCTCTCTTTGTGGTAAAATATCTGAAAAATTCAGGTACTGGAAATGGAATTTTTACTAGAGGTTTATTTTTGCTAATGCTTTCTGAAGATCTGAGCATGGTGGGAATGTGAACCAGAGTGCAGGAGCTCAGCTCATATTTCTAAAGACGTAGAATAGACAGGAAGCAGCTACAACAAAGGAGGAACCTTCCAAGAGCACTACATATGTGTGTGTGTTTGTGTGTGTGTGTTTGTCTATGTGTGCATGTGTGTCTGTGTTCTTATCTCTGTGTGTATGTGTACAGGTGTGTTTATGTATGTATATGAGTCTCTGTCTGTGTATTTGTGAGGATACAGGGATTCTACAATCACACCAGGAGTCTCCTCTTTATTCTTCCTCTACACAACTCATGACTTACATCATAGTGCTGCTCAGACCCTGTGTTCTCTCAATTTTCTATCTCCACATGGAGGTTCTGTCCTGGTGCACACAGATGTCACTCCCTGTGTCTCTCACACAGTGATGCACAGCAGTATCCTGAGGATCACAAACAGCAGCTTCCACAAAACAGGCTCTTGGACTGGTCTCTGGAGTTGAATGCATTGTTTTAATTAAAGACTATAGTAAGCACAACTTCCAGCACCTGTGTGCACAAATAATTCCAAACCTAGAAATTATTCAGTATAACAGGTAGGAAACAACACATGCTGATAACTGACAGTGTTATGCCAAAAGCTTGTACAAAAATAGTGCTTGTTGACTATAGATGCTCTGTACTGCTCCCTTCCATCCAAGGTGAACACTCAGAGATGTAAGGTTGCTATGCTAACTGTGCCTGTACTATTTTATAATAATCACTTGCATTGTGAGATCATCAAGCTGTGTCCACAATTGCAATGTCCAGAGAACACATCATGCAGCTGCTTTACTGGTGGAGGTGCACAGTGGGCTCTGCCTATCTGTCTGGGACTATAACGGTCTACATCCATCAGATTTGGGTCTTTCAGAATTCACATTGATTTTCTCTCCAGCATCTCCATCATTCTTTGTTTAACACATGTTCTCCCTATCATTTGCTTAGCTTTTCTCTCTTCTATTTAGTGCCTTTTTAAAAAATTGCTAATGATTTTGTTTAACTAAAATAATCTTATTTGTTATGCATTCTGTGCCTCTGCAACTTTTTAGAGTTAAGAGTTTTGTTATCTCCCCTAAAACCACATTGAGTGATTCATTTGGTGGCTTTGTGTTCTTCCTCATTAGTGCCACATGGAGGAGTTTTGGGAGAGTTGGGAATACTGGGAAGAATTCTGTTGGATTGTCTTCTTGTGTTTCTATTAAGGGAATTTGGAACCAGCTAACAGAAAATGAACAATGGTTCCATATTATCTCTTTGTCTATAAAAAATTTTGTTTATACAGTCACATATAATAAAATCCAATAAGATTCAACATGATAAACCAATGGAGACAGGAGAACAAAAGCTTCATGGGACTTCAAAACAAGATGATATTAAATTAGCGCTAGCTATTTTACTGTCTTGTTTTCTTCAAAATAACTGTTTATACCATCACAGACAATAAAATCAAACAACCCAGAAAAAAACCATTCCAATTAGTGAATGAAAACATTATGGGGCTTCAAAGCAATATAATGGGGAATCATGTTTACCACATACTTTTATGTATTCTTACCATTTCTTACACTAGGGAAACTATTTGGTATTCATACATGAAAGTTTGATTTATTTCTCTTATGAGTGTGGTCTCAAGCTGTGCCCATTAATTTAGAAATATCTCAATGTGATCAATTCTTATAGCTGAGTGGTACTCCATTATATAAAAATACCACAACTTTTTAATCTACTTCTCAGTTGATGGACACTTAGGTTGTGTACAAGATCTAGCTATTACAATTGTGCTGCTATAAACATGGGTGCACATATATCACTGTGGTATGATATTTTCAGTTCTGGGGGTATGCCTAGAAGTGGAATAGCTGGAACAAATGGGACTTCCAATCCAATATTTTTGAGAAATCTCCAGACTGACTTCCACAATGGTTATACCAGTCTACACTCCCAACAACAGTGCAGGAGAGTTCCTTTTTCCCCACAGCCTCTCCAGCATTTGTTGTTGGTAGGTTTATTCATCTTGGCCATTCTTTCAGGAGTGAGATGGAATCTCAATGTGGTTTTAATTTGCATTTCTCTAATGAGTAATGATGATGAGCAATTTTTTCATGTATTGATTTGCCATTTGTATTTCTTCATCTGAGAATTGTGTATTCATCTCAGATGCCCATTTTTGGATTGGATCTTTGAATACTGGGGGTCTGATTTTTTTTTTAATTCTTTATATGTTTTAGACAGAAGTCTTTTGTCTGAGGGACAGTTCACTAAGATTTTTTGCCAGTTTGTGGGTTTTCTTTTCACTATGCTGGAGATTTCTTTTGATGTGCAGAAACTTTTTAATAAGAGGTGATTCCAGTTATTGATTCTGGGAAGTATTTCCCATGCAGTTTGGTTCCTATTCATGAATTCTCTACCTACCCCTATGTCTTCAAGGATTTTACCCAATTTGTTTTCCAATATATTTCGTGTTTCTGTTTTAATATTCAGATGTTTGATCCATTTAGATTTTAATTTAGTACATGA